GAACTCTGAAGAAAACGATCGGAATTGTCAGCACCCCGTATTTCTCGTAGATGAGGTGCTGGCGGTCAGATTAAAAAATTGTTTAAAAACAGTGAATAGCTGGAACTCTTGTCAAAACGTATTTAAATGCTCGCTTGTTTTGTTTTTAGATACCTACTTCAGCAAAATTGTTTTTTCCGTGTACATATTTTTATCAGGATCTAAATATCGCTAATATATATCACTAATGTAAAATGTATATAAAATAAGTCAGTTGTCGCGATTTGTACACTATACTTTCTAAGATCATGGATACGATATCGTTTCTATCGTTTCCAGAAACAGATCAATATATGATTCAAATGAATGTTACGCGTCAAACTGGTTTGCAAATAAGTATAATGAATTTTATATATGTACTAGTAAAACATTTAGCGTTCATGTACCACTACTATGATGTATCCCCCTGAATCAGCTTTATTATTAAATTCCACTTTGGATGATATATCAGTTAATTAGAATCTCGACATGTCTATGTTTCAGTATCATTTTACAGATATGCTTATAATAGATTGCAAGTTCGAAATTTTTCACGATCTAATAAATAAAACTGTACGTATGAATTTACAATCATCCACAGTAGTATTTAAAGGGGTGAAACGTTTTGAAGATTCAACCGTTGAATTTGAGTCTAAGGATGGGAAATCGGTGAAATTTATGGAGAAGAACAGTATGTTATATCAAAAGAATTGTTGTACGTCACCAACAGTACTGTTTTAAGAATATATATTTTACACATGAGAGAAAAGAGAAAATTATGACAAATGGCTAATGACGCGTAATGAGTTAATATTTATTTTAAAGTAGATTAAGCGTAAAGTAGATTATGGCATTTAAAATTATCATGTGAACATTATTTGTTACGGTTTGTGAATCGCTTATTACCTTTTGTGAATTATGGCAGAAAGGATAAAAGGTTTATGGACATATTATAGTTATCTCACGAATCTCACGTGTTGGCGCTGAACGACCCTCCTTAAGAGTTCCAAGCTTATTGAAGCATGCGATTATCTTTCACTTTAGCCGGGGTGTCGAAGTTGGCCGGCCTTGCAACGTGGGAGAAGCGGACGCGATTCCCGCCACCGCTGCGAGTCGAGCCCCGGCGCTGGCCCGGTATGCTTGAAACGCAATGCCAGTGCACTACGTTTGACACACCGCCACGATTTCTCCGAAATGGCACGGGATACAAAATTGTTATTAGTGATACAAATTAGTACAAAATGGGTACTAAATATTCTGATAGGTCCGGTTTGATTCTGCCGATTTGGTCCTGCTAGCTTAGAAGAGGTATTGAAGTCGCAACTTTTGTAGATGTATTGTATTTTTTAATTTTTTCTTCGACTTAATTTCAATTGCCGCTATTTTCATAATGCGATTTCAACGATTCTAGTTTATTCCATAGACAAACTAATAAAAAAACTAAAATGTTTGAATTTTTTATTCCAAATAATTTATGTTAATAACTGCTATCGCTTTCGCCAGGAAGACAGGATATTTTTTTTGTAATGTGACAACATTGTATAACAACAAAAATAATTATTTTTATGACCTATAAAAATTTAGACATTTCTAAAACACTAATAAATGTAAAAATTCAGAATCACGCGCAATGGCGCGATTTATAGTTGTTTCTTAAAAAAAAAAAATCTCAAAAATCTCAAGCGCGCAAGATAGACTGCCCCTTAATGCTCGTAAATATCTCTATGATTGCCTGGTTAAATTATTCAATGAGCTATATATGGAAGAATATATGTATAAATAAATATTAAGTTATGCAATTATGTTCATATACGATAAAGGCTCCATAAACACGATATTCTCGAGAATATAGATTTGCGCGATCATGCTCGATGCCACTCATCAAGCCGTTTTATTTGACCGTTTGTATATAAAAACATTGCCCGTTTCCATTCGGAAATAAGATGGAAGTGGCAACATTCCACGAAATCGAAATATAGAATTTGTCAAAACAGTTCAACATTGTGACGGTTCTTCTGAACCCGACTAATCGAATCTAATTGAACCGAATTTCAGCTCCGGGGAATCTCTTCCCGGACAAAACGCCTGTCTGAAAGAGTCTCCTCATCGGAGCATTTCGAGGACGTCTTTTAAACATGCACGTTGTCTGGATAAGTTGCTCCAGGCTTCGACTTAAATTATATTATCAGATACAAAAAGTTAATCACTCGAGCAGTCCATCGGATATGTCGTGCCTAAAGTAGAGATGTGCGAACTATTCGAATATGAATCAAATCGAATCGGATAAGATGTCTAATATGATTCGAATCCGAATTATTCGAAAATTTCTCTAGATGAATTGAATACGAATCATTATAAAAATCATATTTCCCGTTAATAAGCAGAAGTACAATCATGTTAATAGGTGCATTCAGTGAATGCAGTCAATATTATAACCGCTCACTGAGCAGCTAATTGTAAATAGCAGTTAAAAAGTTCATTTCTAATTTTTGGCATGCTCTGTGACATGACCCTATCAAATTGTAAGCAAAAGTTTGAATATTCGTAAGAAAATAGTAAGCTATGAGTATTGATAATAAAATAAACTATATTATTTTATTTTAATTTCTATGCATGTAATTGGATAATGTTATTGGATATTACATTAGAATATTTTAATAATTTATCTATGATCTTTCGCCTAATTGTTTCGGTTACTGGCATTAAATAAAGTATATTTTATATTAGTTTTACATTAAATATTTAAATATACTCTCTTTAAAAAGAATTTATATTTATATAATTAAAATTCTTTTTTCACATCAAAATATTCTCTTATTATCTACGTGTTAAAATTCAATCTAATAATACTTATATTTTATATTGTTAATTAAAAATTATATTTCAACGATTCGATTCGACATGAAAAAAATCCTTGATTCGCACATCTCTGGCCTAAAGACAGTAACAATACAGACGCATGTTGAACTCGTCAACGCAGGCACTCTGGGTGCCGTAGGCGTTCAGCCTGCTGACCGACCCGGCCAACTTGCGGCTATTGTCGTCCGCTTTGTAGCGTACCGTACCCTCGAAGATCGCGTCACCCGGCGTGGTCTGTATGACCACCGTGTAATCCGTCAGCATCGCGCCGTCCGTCTTATCCAGCCAGACCTTCGCGTCCTTGATCATCTTCAAGCTCAAAGTCGCGCACATGGGATACCTATTCAACATGTCGTTCAGCTTTTTGACGAGGAACGACACGCTGTCCTGCAGACCGGTGTCGTTCCACGAGACCGTGTTGCTGGTGTGACACATGCACCAGTGATCCGCGATGTGCGCCATGTCGCAGGTGCGAATGTCTGGCACCGGCAGGAACCAACTGATGCCACGCGCCGGGACGAGAGACGCGGCCTGGACCTTGATGCGCCTCTTGAGATACGACTCGCGCAGACGGTACGGGTTCAGCAGATCCACCATCGTCTCGTGAAGGTCGAAGGGCGTCGTGAGGCTGTGGCTGTTTCTTCGAAGATTGCCCCAGGCCAGAGGGAACTTCTCGCGCCACCATCTCGGCAGCACGATGAAGACGAAGGGCAGACTGTCCTCGATCTTTCCCTGATACGTTTGCCGGAAGTCACCCCATCGCATACCGTGGTCGCTCATCACGATCAACGCCGTGCGATTCAGCAGACCATCGCGCGACGCGTACTCGATGAACTCGTGGTAGGAGTCGTCGCCCAGCTGAGGATACGTGAAGTAATCGTGGGTGAGACTCGCCTGCCAGATGAAGGCGAAGTAGAGCTCCGAGGAGAATTCGATCGCCGTTTTGCGAGTGTAATCCAGCATGCAATCGAAGGTCTTCCTGGTGCCGATGCACAGATTGGCGTTCAGCTTGTGGGTGTTGCCGACGTCGCTCTCGGCGGCGATGCAGTACGGTCTCAAGTAATAATCCGTCGGTGGCTCGCGGAATCCCGGTTTCAGATAATTGAACGTGGTCATGCTGTAGGCGTCCTCGCCGAACACTGTGCGGTAACCAGCGGCGCTGAATTCCTTCCACAAGAGCGGGCATTCGTCGAAAGTTTTGTTGGGCGTCTGCCAGCACGCGTCCCGGAATTCGTCCTGATTCAGGCCGCTCAGTACCGGGACGAGGTTCGGGTATGTGTTATCGGCGACCTTGGTGTAGCCCAACATCTCCGCGGCACCGAGGGATTGAAGCGACCTCACGGTCTTCGGCATCATCCTGTGGAAGTTCATTCTGGAGACCGAGTCGAGCCCGACGACGAGAACGCTGAGACGATCGTCGGCGATCGTGTCCACTCTCAGCGCCTGCCTGCATCTTTCCTCTACCTCAGGCTTACGCGGTAGGAAAGCGTAGTAATCCTTGTATACCACTTCGTTGTTTTGGTAACATTCAACCTTTACGAATTCGGCATTTATAGTGCAGGAATCTTGGAAAGGATAGCAATTCGTGTCAAACCTGCAAACGTTTATTATCTAATTAAAAGGTATTTGTGTGGAATATTTACACATATAATTTATGCATATATTACATATGATTATATTTTAATTTTTAATTGTTGACAATACTAACGTAACAGCATTGTCATTATCTTTTGTTCGCCAAAATGGTCGCCAGCAGCAACTTAACGGCCCGCCCGGACTGTTGTGGAATTCGTTCCACGCAACTGGGTTAATGAATAGCGCGGTATTGTTCGATTCAATCAATGGTGGAAAACTTCCATATTCGCATTCGAACACGTCTTTTGTTATGAAACGTCGAACAGCAGGATCGAAGGGATCCATCGCTGGTAATCGACATCCTTTGTTGCGAACTAGAAAGCCACCATTGCCTGTTGGCATGTATACGTTTGACGCTGTCGAGACATATTCCTCTGTAAAATTACGAATTAGTAATTAAAATTGACGTGGAAATATACGAAAATGATTTAAATCTAAACAAGATTTTCGCTGCTACAGTTTATCAAGAAAGATTTGAGCAATATAAAATTTAAATCATTTTTACATGATTGATTTTTTAATGATTTATTACTTAGTAACTAGATTTAAATTAAGATTTTGTTAAAATAACAGTGATTTGAAATTAAGTAAAAGAATTTGAGCAATTTGAATTAAATATGAGGTTTTATTATTCACTTTTGTATCTTTAGAGTATCTTTAGTTTTTATGTTTCTTTTCAATCATTTGCATTTTAAAAACATTGATATATCGAAGGTTCCTGCTAAGAAAAAATCCATTTTTCTTTAAATTGATCAAAGAATATACTTTCGAATATCTTGTTTTTGTTCAAACATTATTTGCATTAATTATATAAGCACGCATTATTGTCAGCGCTACAAAAAGTGTATACTAGTTTTATAACAATTTACAATAATAATATAACTATCTATGCGCAAATGATCTGATATATGTGGTTTTTGTGCGCTATATTTTACGTCTTTACGACCGTCGCAGAAAATTCTATGCCACTTACATATGCACAGCTTTGATAGCATTTTATACCCCAGTTGGTTTTGCAATTGTAAAATATTATTTTATTTAACAGTTGCAAAAACTTCTTAGTGGTTGTTGCTTGTATATACTTGTACGTTGATATTGTTTCTTGCCACGACACACACTCATTTGTATTTGAATTATCCTTGCACGAAAAAATCAAACAAGTGATTGATAATGATCTAATACTCACGCGATATTACATCTTGAGCAGTCGGTTTAGCCATTGCTCCGAATCGGATGATCCGAAATTGACCGGTATTGTAGCTGTTGATAATGAGAAGCGACGTTAGTAGAAAAACTAATAGCGCGATTAGCCATCTTCGTAGTCGCAAACCTCCTTTTTGTATTTGAGTTTTAATTAATGCCGTGGTAGATTCACACTCATCGTCAACAGCTTTTTTGCCGCCGCGAAACAGTGCCTGTTAAAGAAAAGCGTTTTTTTTAAGTACGTTGAAGCTCATTTAAAGCTACCTGATATGTGCTTGGTAATGTGCATCAATGATTAATAATAAATTATAAATGATAAGATAAAATTAAATCAGTTTTTAAGCTTTCTATAAAAAGATCGATTTTGTTATACGATTTACTTCAATATTTTTCCGAGTGATTGAAATTTACATTCAAAATTAAGAAGAGCTCTCTCTCGTAAGTTGTATTGAAAATAGCCCGACTAATTAAAAGACTAATAAGTATCAAAAAATTAGACATTATAACTTATAATTTGCTATAGACATGCACTACAATTAAAAATTTGCAACAAATAAACTAAAACTTTGAATTGTACTTATTATAGAAACGAGTGAAATCAACGTCTGTGAAGCTCAACATTCACTGCATATAATTATACTTGACTAAAACGCGCAAAGAGCGAATATTTATTAAAAATTTGTCTTTCGTGTATTTATTTGTTTTATACAAAAATTAATGAATATTCTGATGATTGCCTTGCAGTGTTAAAAAGAAGTGTCTTGAATAATATATTATTTTACTAGATCGACATACATAAAGAAGAGTATAATACTGCTAAGATCCAATAACTGTTCACAATGAAAGAAAATAATTGCGCATAGCATGCACGTATATTAGAAGAATTAATGTGCTTTTTGGGGGGAGGGGGAGAGAAGAAAGAAACAAAAGGTTTATTTTACCTCCTCGAGAGAATGGTGTTCACGCATAACAGAGCGGTTGCATGCATCAAGCACTTTCGTATGTGTAAGGTAGAATTGCACAATCAGTAACATTATGTCCAGTGCGTTTGTTTCTACGGCAGCGATAACAGGACACCGATAGCACTTTCGGTCTAGACATCTGTCTCGCTAACTAGCCTAAATTGGAACTCGCGGATTTAAATTTGCAGGTCTCCGTATTTCTCTCGTTTGTTCCAATACAAAAGAAATATATTATTAATTATATCGTTATGCCTATGTCTTTGCCGTTACTGCGCTGAAATTTTTTTTTTCTCACGAAGAACGGCAGCCTAAGAGATAGAATTAAATTGAGCAGTCTTGGTCCTTCTATTTTCCATCACTCTTTGCAAAGATCAAGAGTCTCTTTTTATTTCCTTATGTATATCGTTCTCATATCGTTCCACGTAGACACGATTACTCATTGCGAAAGCTCATGAACACTGTAATTCGCATTAAAAAGCGCGACAAATACATCGAACGTTAATAGCGCAATGTTTTATATAGGAGTTAGCCCGTAGTGTGTAGCACGCACACCAGAACTCAAAATGCGCAAACATGTCTATTTTCGCATCGAAAAAGCGAATGCTTTTCTCCCAATGATTGTCTATCTAAAATGAGCTGAGGATTGGCGAAAGGTGTCTCTCTCTTTTTTCGTTGTTTCCCCTCTTCTCTCAACGGTCATTAGACTCACGTTTCTTCTACGAAGTGACGATATGTTCGTGTGGTCCATGAATATATCGTAGGGACGATTACGAGAGATTATGGCAGATTATGAAATTATGAGCGCGATTGTTGAAACTATGCGATCTAAGCCCCTCGCTGATGCTCTTCGCGTTTAATCTAGCGGCCCCCGCGTGCACGCGCGGACCTGGAAGACTTCTGGAACGTTGACTGCGGAGCGCCATTCTGCCGGCATATATAACAATATATCGCTACACTGCATTTAAGGGGCGTTTCGGTTTAATCGCCACGATTTGTTTTTATTTCTCGATTCGGCACGTATTATGTTAAGCGATAACTTTTGCACGGGCGACAGCAAAGCTGGCACTTCCGAGATGCCGCCGCGGTCGGCTCGTGTTTATTGTTCGAATTAATTTGCGTTCGCTCAACATGCCGTTCGATCGAACTTCTTGGGTTTTAGGTCCTCGTATCTACCTGTTGATCGCTAGCCTGTGAACCATCTTTTTCGCCGATATGTATATAATAAAAAAAGGACTGATCGCGCAAATAATCAGGCCTGTTCGAGTTCCATCGGGCGGCTGGAATCCGTAATGACTTGTGCCACCGTAATTCTTTCCAACGATAACAATTGCGGCGCATCTATACCATGTAATTTAAAGAGCGGAGCCTCAGCACTATCTCTTCTGTCTCTTCTCCGTCCCACTAAGCGTTTTGCTCATTTTTTTCTTCCTAGATCTATTTGGTTGTGTGTTATGCTTGACGTATACATCTCCAGAGAAGGTGCATCCATCGATTGTATTCCTGAAACATTATCGACAGTTTAGTTACGTTGATACTCCTTTGCAGAGAAATGTTTCTTCCTCGGCGATAAGTGATAAAGTTATTAATATTTCTGGATATAAATACTTTATGAAATAAATTAATTAAAAATTTACGAATTTTTGAATTAATTTATAGAATCAATCTTTTTTTTTGATAAAAATTACAAAATATGAATAAATACAATACAATCTAACATTTTTAATTTGATTTTAAATATACTTGAACAGAATATTTTTTAATCTAATTAATTAATTTCTTATTTTTAAATTTCCAATTCAGTTTTTATTTGATTTTAATTTTAAATTAATTATATAATATTTATCTATTTATTAAAAACAAAAAGTTAAAGCAAAAAAGTCTTCTATAAAAGTTATTTATTTAGTGAAAACAATTACATTAAAATAAATCCTGTCTTGATAAGATTATTTGTAAATAATAAGAAATAAAACTTTGTTTACTATTTTTAAATGTTTTATCTAAATTAAAAATTGTAAGATAAATACTTGATTTCTTATTTCCTTTAGTTATAATAATGAATCCAATCTTAGATTTTTTAGTACAAATATAGAAGAATATCTTCGTAAAGATTTTTTTTAGATGTTTTACCTAGTTATTTATATATAAATAAATCACTTAGTTACCTATTATGTAAATATCTTTTTTTATTTTTTTTTCTATTCTGATTTGAAAATTAAATAAACTTGTATAAGACAACGAGAATTTTAGAGCAATTGCGTTTGTTAATCTTATAGTATCACATATAAGATAACATCGGAGATTGTCAACAGGCGGGACATGAAGTAAGATATATACGTACATTCGGTCGAATCTTGCGTCCTTGCGCATGTGAACTTGAAGAGATGAAACTCTCAAACAGCTGTTTTTAGATATCCACTATGATTTCGCGGATAAAGCACGCGGAGTGATCGAACGTGATGCATATTCAGGAATTCTTTTTTTTCTCAGTATAACAACACCCGGATAAAATCTCTAAAAACTTCTTATAGTGCAATTTCAAATTGCAGCGACGAGGCACCGTCGTTACACTTTCCTAATATCTCATTTCTCCAAGTAAAATCGTCGACAATATCTTCCTCGGCCACACTTATTGTACAGAATCCGCACTCTCGGAGATACGCGAATAAAGATAAAAACATCAGCCAGGATCCTCGTCTTCTTCTGGGATGGCGGGGGGGAATATACAGATCGACGTTTGGGCTACCGATCCGACGGCTTCTCCCTCGTCATCTTCGCGCCGATTTCCGGTCTGTTTATCGGAGGACGCGCGGGGTGAAAAACGCACACGTTCGTTGGTCGATCCTCGGGGATGCTTCGGCAGGCGTTGCCGCGCCCCGGCGAGCTGGGATTTAACCGAGAGTGCGTGCGGACGCCGCGACCGGCCGAGACTGGGCGAGAAGTGACGAGACGTGGAGGAGGACCAGGGTTCCTGGTCGATAGCGGAGCACGCGCGTTTCTTCGGCGTGCGGCGACGAGAGACAGCTAGACCAGTGTACAATGCACAATTTGCCAGAATCACACCAAAACGGAACGAAATTATATTCTTGGCCGCGGAGGTGATGTGACGCGTGGGGCGTATAAACTGTATATTTCGAATATTGCAGAGTTTTAGATCATGTAATATATCATTTTCCCATGTTTCCACGCGACGTATCACTTTTTTTGAGTTACATGGTAATCTGTAATTTTTTGCAACGTAAGCTTCCGTGCGCGTGTTGATTTTACATGAATCGCACACAATAAGTTCGGTGATAAAACGGCACTTAAACACTTTCATCACTCTCAAATCATATTTACGAATTAATTATTAAAAACAGAGGAGATTATCACGAGTAGCTAAAATTTTTTTTTTATAATTTAAGATTAAGAAACTTAGAACAGGTCTGAAAGCTTCTGAATGATGTAAAGTTCGAGTTCGAAGTTATGGACGATTCGAGGTATTCGACTACTGAATTCTGAACGTGTGTACCGAGAAAATTCAATCACGTCTCACTATCTGCATCTCATTTCTGTTGATATCGATTTATCGTCGTTTGTTAATGATTGTTGGTCGATGCAATTCCCGTTAATTACAATCAAATTTGTTTTGTTTTTTGCAAAATATAGTCCACGAAATTTAACATCCAAAATGATTGTTGAATCTTAAAATTAATTAATTCATAATACATAATTAATTTTATAGATTAATTAATTTTGTATGGAATATATAGAACAGATGAATTATATTTCTTTCTTTATATACTTATATTTTTCTTATATTTCTTATATCATATAAGACCTTTATCTTTATTATATAAGATCTTGTATATTTTTTCATATAAATTTCTCTATTGCATTCTATAATTGCTAGAAACAAAATAAAAAATTAGTTATGCGTGTAACTGATCGCATTGGAATGTAACACATATATATACGTACATCTCGACCTTGTATGTATATATAACGCCACTGCGAGTATCGCATCCATAAAAGTTATTGTTTCATTAACTACGACTGATAAGTCTGCAATTATAAACGGACCAATCAATGAGCGATTTGATAACATTGATGTTAATTGCAAGTAGAGCAAGAATTCCGATGCCTCAGATCTGTGTTAAGACATAAAGTTGATATGCGAAACAACTGTATATTGGAGAGCTTATCTATATCTATCAAAGAATTAATTATATTAATGAACAATACTGTTATATATTATATATAAGCGCGATTATATTATACAAATCTAATTTTCTTGTCAGTATATAGTTATAAAGTATAGGTATATAACTTTTTTATTAATCCTAAAAAGAAAATTATATTTTCAAACTGTGACGCTGAAAAGTATAATCGCGTGTTATCATACAGTAAAGTACAATATAATGAAGTCATTATCGAATGTGACAAATGTCAATGGAATATATACATCGACACTGGTTATTGGTTCTTGTTTTTCAATGTATATGTTTTGATGTATATATTAGTTATGTTATGTATTCTTTGATAGATAGATAAGCTCTTTAATATACAGTTGTTTCGCATATCAACTTTATATCTTAACACAGATCTGAGGCATTAGGATTCTTGCTCTTTTTGAATTTTATAAATTACATGTAATATTCTTCAATATATTTACGTGATTAATAAATCATAATATATTGCTATATTAATTATATCTGTACCTTTATCAGTAGTTGATAAATTTGTGAACCATGATGTTGACAAATGAAAAGTAATAGCTTTTGTAGATTTCGTACCGACGGGGATATTACCTCGTGTAGATTAAACCTATCAGGTACACACTTGGCGTCGAGATATTTCTCCACCTTGAATGTGACCTACCACTTTCGAATGTGTCAGGGTTAAAAGAGTATCATTTAAAAAGATAGTGAGTAGTAAATGTTTAAAAAAGAATTGGCAACAAAAAACGAAGAAATAATTAAGAAAATTGAAGATAAAAAGAGGAAATGTAAACTCTTCTTTTGTTTATTATATAATTGACTTCTTAAGAATATACTTTGCATTTCATTCTTTTGTATTGATTATTCTTTAGATCAAAATATTAGTACGAATTAGCCAATTAAATTTATGTAACTGCAGTTAATAATTAACCGTAAAATTATAATATATTAAATTAAAAGTGGTAAGAGATTCCGTAATAAAAAAAACATTACGAGATTGTAACTTTTAATTGAATATTCCATCAATTCTATATAAAAGAAGAAGCATTATGCTTATAAATAATCCCGTTGATTTAAATCTCACTGTTTCATCGTCATAATAATGGTTTATTGTTGAAGTGATATAGTTATAATGATTCGTAACGTATTTAACTACAATGATAGGTCTTTTATCTAATACAGTCGTGTTTATACATGGATTATACAATATTTACAGTAACTTAAGATCGTACAAGCAATACTTTTCTTGGACAATTTCACAGGACATTACGCCAGGTAAATGGCCGTCGGGATATTTTTTTTTTTCGTCTGCGTCATACAACGTTTCATTTGCACGTATGTAAAGTATATTTATACGGCGTACATGTGTGCGCGCCCCTTAAATGCGTATCAATCGTTAAATTACGAAAATTTTGGTAATACACTTACGATGTATATCGACTGTTCGCTAATCGCTTTGCTATACTTATCCGACCATTTATTCGCCACTCATTCGCTATTTACAATACAGTTTTCTTCGCGCTTCGCTCGTAAAAGGGTCGTCATCCTTCGATATACTTTCTCGAAACGGAGAAAGAAATATTACATTTTCTTCTACAGAAAGATCTGTAATTTTTTTTATATGTCATGTTAATTATCACGTCGAATATAAGTGGCGGAAGATTTTCTAATTCTCGAAAGATCGTCTCGCTTCTGGATTGCCATTATGAAATTATTACGGGAGATTTGTGTATTTTTGCGAAATATACAAGTCCATAGAAAATGATCCATGACATCGTAAAACAACTATCAATTGGTAATCGGCTGGTTAAAGATCGGGATTATTAAATCGGTAAAACGTTTGAACGGTTCACACATCGAACTTGCACTTCTCTCCTCGATACGAATGAATTTACACCGCCGCTATTAAGATTACTCTTACACATCAAAGACGAATATTATCCGGTGATATATATATATATTTTTCCCCATTCTTTCCAGCACGCCTCCCTCCTTTTCGAAAACGTAAAAATATAATCTGATTTAATAAGTACAAAACGTCGATATGCTTCGATGCATCAAGTTCAATCGCTCTTTCTTCTTTGGTCGAGTCAAGTCTACCTCGACGGCTAACGGAACTCGCAAGTTTCTCGGCACATCCTCCCGCAGACGAACGAACACACTGTGCACTGGTAAAGTTAGCAAGCGGCTATCAGCGATTTTGATTTTTCGCGGACGCGACGTACCTAGAAGAAGCGACAATTTCGCTTCGAGTGACATATTTTGTTTTCTTCTTTTTTTTGTGCTTTTTCCTATCCTTTTTGGTAACGTTACGCGACGAGAAAGAGAGTTCTTCCGGGATCTTCCCTAACTCTTGTTAATCTTTCTCTCTAACTAGAAATCGGATGAATTGTTCTATCGAAGTGTGTTCACTGGAGGTGCGTATATGTTTTCTTTTTCTAGTTGCACGCGCACTTTATTTTTAGTTGTGTCGTCGTGTAGCATGCGTACCGCTGTAACGTAATTCGCTGTGTTACGTGTAAGGTTGGCTTTTTCGTCTTAAAAAGGAGAAGATACAATAGAAGCCGTATTACACGAGTATTAATTTGTGAATATGTACATACATGTAGGATCGATTACACGTAAAATTTCATCTCGTGTCCAGTCATACTGATTACGATATCATATTTAACATGCACGCAGACCTTTCACGAATTTCAGAGATGATTATAAAATGTTTAAGTGTACCGTGGCTACATTTACGAAGAAAATTAATCGGAAGTAAAGTAATTAGCGTTGCGGCAATAAATAATCCTTTCGACGAATAGAGTTCACCCTACATAAATAGTTTCCTCCGCACGTATAAAAATTCAGTCATTCATATTTTCAATAATTCACATAATATAATTCTTTATCGTTGACCACCGCAAGTATTTAAAATATTTCGTTTACAAATTTTATATCAAGTGAAATTTGCATGCGAGAGTTTTCAATATTGCTTCTGCAAATGCGGAGGGTAAGTTTAAAATTACGGTAAATTTTTGTGTTACCGAGTCAAATAATATTTTTTCGCAATGTTGGATATCCGTTGTTGACAATATAACGTATATTGTCATGTTTTTTTCTAAGAAAAAAAAATATCTGTTTTGTTACATATGCGATTTTATTAAATATTTGGTATTATTTATGTAAAGAATTACATTTTTTATGTGGATACGGTAGATGTACATAGACGATAGGTACCAGAATCGGAACTTCGCGAAAAAAGCGAATAATAAATAAATTATAAATTAATGCACGTTGTAAATGTGTGGTATACGGCGTTTCATTGGCGATGCTTCGATCGTTCAGTAATTGATTAAATAACGATATAGATAATAATGATTATATACTATTGTATCAAGTCATTATTGGCTATTTTCAATTGACGTTTGATAAAAGAGCTGAATTACGCGCAATCAATAATGTAAAAGATTTTGTAAATGTTATGCCGTTAAAATGTGTCGAATGTCGTAGTAATGTATATTTTACTTACATAGACATGTTTTTTTTACTAAAGTTATTTACTAAAAAATCACAGATAAAAGATTAATATTTAAAATTCTTCTATAAATTATTATTAGAATATAATTAACTTTCTAATAATTACAATCGCGTTTAAAAAAATATATTAAAACATAGCCAATGGTATAGTCATAGTCTCTCTCATATTTGTATAAATTAACAAATATTTGTTTCGAATCATTCGTAAAATTGAAAAATAAAATAAAAAATGACTTTGTCAGAAGTTTTCGAAAATTTTAAATAACGTCTGACATTATCATTTCTCCAATCCAAATGATAATTTTTTTTTGTTCCACAAAAATGAATAACATTGTATATAATCCATATAAATTAATATGGGCGGTGCATCTGCGGATACAAACAATTCCAATAAAAATTACAATAAATATTATAATAATTTTTAGTACCCTAATTTATTATTATAATATTTATTATAATTTTTTTTTTGTTTTTGTAATTTTAATGTTATAATTATAATAATAAATATTATAACATTTATAATATTTATTATAAATGTTATAATTAATATTTAAATGTTATATTAATATTTATTTTATCAAGTTAAAATTAATCATTTTAATTTCGTTAAATAATGAATATTTACAACGACAACACAAACATCGCCGATGATGTGTGGAGGATGGACGTTTAATTAGCAATAGTGCTGTTATTTCTTTTTAATTATTTCACTGATTCCGAGGCATTCGCAGACATTCGCAATACATCGCATGCTGTGTACCTCCTGCATACGTTTCATTCATGCGTGTAAACGATAATAAATTTATTATCATTATTATAATACTATAATACAAGATATAAGTACATTGGTTTAGTGATTGCAGGCTGCTCCTCTCATATCACAGCGAGGGGCGCTGCCGGGCCCGCTTCCTAAATTACACTTACACTCCATCATCCTCGCATTTGTTTCGTTCTATAATTTTGTTTTTTTTTTCTATCGCACATACACGTCGCACGCATACACATCGTAAACAAACGGAAGCAACACATATACAATCGCGCGTATATACAACTCGCACAATTGACGCCCTATTGCATCAATACAGTGTATGTATGTATACATATGTATATATATACGCATATATATAATCATGTATTTATATATTTATATTTATAATATATACACATATATATACTACTCCATGTATATTTGTATATATATATGCATATATATTAATGTATATTTATATATAGTTATGTATATAAGTATTTATAACGTAGCCTTAGATAACCCGGAGAGGTGACCACCGCTGTCGCGAATGGACGGTCGAACTGTGTCGGGGACGCCCGCCAAGGACGCGACGCCACGTGTCTTGCGGCTCCAACATGCCTGCGCTCGCCTACCCTCGCGAGCTGAGCTCAGTCTAGGCGTCGCGTCTCAGCGCGGGGACTCCCGTGCGAGAGATTCGCGAATCGTTAACGTAGATACGTTATTATGCACGTTTTACGAGGCTCGATCGAGCACGCGCGCGGGATCAATATTTAAGCGGAACGTCTTGTCACCCAGCCGCCCGCATCGCGGCGAGAGCTTCGGCTTGAATAAACGATGAACGCGAGCGGCGCCAGCGGTGACGCGGTCAAGCCTCATCGCGTATCGAGAGTATCCGTATCGAGGTCGAAACTCTCGGTGTCTCCTAGCCTACTCGGAAGCCGTCGACGGATCGATGGAATCTACCGATCCCTTTTACGCATATTAAGACTAGCGCGATAATAGGAACATGGTGTCTTCGCTTGCAGACATTGAAAACCACTACCGGGCGTGGGAAGGGACAAGGAAGGAAGAGGAAGAGATAGATGGAGAGAAAGAGAAGGAGAAGGAGAGAGAGAGAGAGAGGGGGGGGGGGGCGTAGGGATATGTTGTCACTCGTACGTAGAGAAATGCCAAAAGCAACTGTATCACCAACGAGCTACGCTCGGTCGCGCGATTGTCCCCGGTGATCGTTCCGATCGTGCTCTCCCGACGTGAGAAATTGGGCGATTTTTCAGTTCCGAAGATTGTCTTCCTTTGAAATGCAGCACGGATACAGCACGGAAAAAAATAGTCATTGTATATTGTAACTGTTCCGACCGGGATTTGCGGAATCATTTCTAGGCGGTGCATCATTGCGTTTGAAAACTTCCACTCCTGATGATCTAGCAAGACCAAATGAGTCGATGGTAAACCTTCGCCGATTGGGACGGAGGGATGGCGGGGTCGAGACTACCCCCGCTGTCAACATTCGCTCGTCGCGATTCTTCTCTTCTTCTTCTAAACTAATTCAGTCTGAGAGAATTGTATCGATTATATTATCAGCCTCTTACGTGGCGGAGATTCGGCCGCTATGAACGGACGATCGCGCGCCTATCGTGCAGTTAGATGGAAAGATATGTATCTGTTAAGTTTCACGCGGCTAATCCCTCTCCCCTCGCCGGTGGCGGTGGTAGCCGTGCTGTGGGCGGGGTGGCGTCATTCTCGGTTCTACTCGGTGTTTCTCGGTCAAAATGATGTTGAAGGGTATCGCCGGTCCAGGACACGCTGGCGGACGTTTGATTGCCGCCGTTGGACGACGCGCCGGGCGAGTGCGAGGGCGACGGTGTTTGGAAGAGCATTGATCCCGAGGGTATCGCGGATTTGCCGTCCAGAGGCCCGTTGCTGGTCGGCCCCATCGGTTGTTTGTCCAGGGAGAAACCACCCGCGCCGGCACCGTACACCGAGCCGAACAGGCTTGCCGCGTACTTGCCCGCGCTCAAGGAATGAGGCGGTAACCCGTTGCTACTTTGAATCACCGAAATCTCGTTCAGCTGTAAGTAATGCACGCCGTCTGGTTAGGTTTATTCGAGGGCAATTACCTACAAAAATGAAAATAAACGGTGATCGTTAATGCGGCTCCCCGTGACGTCTCTAGAGTTCAATCGTTACGTAAAGTATACCGTTAAACGTCTTAAGTTGAACAGCAATCGTTACATAAAGGTCGAAATTGCGATAAAATAAAAATTTCCGCGAATTTACTCGGAGTTGATTGTAACACAAACTTATCCCTGAAGGAAATATATTTTGCTGAAAGTATTATAAAATCGATGAAAATGAAATGAAAATTATTAAAAAATTACTGAATATATTTCAAAATAAATCATAATTGTCCTTATGATATGTAATGTAGGTAATACTGTAAAATGTAAGGAAAGTTAAATTATACTGTTGAAAAGTAATTACAATTTTTATGAAATATTAGATATCATGAAATGTATTAAATTTAACCAAAAATTAAATTTTTATTAAAATATTAATCGAATAATAATGAAATGGGGTCAATTGAAAGAACATTTCAGTAAAATTTTTCATTACATTTTTAGTAAAATATTTCCATCAGGGACAGCAAGATTTATACTTTCTCGATGTCTATGAAACTTATCGCGATAATCGTCTTTGAATTATGCCGGCGGAATAGCTTCTCGCTTCGAGCGGTATAAGCATTACCTTTTGCTGGACGCCGTTAAGGAACGGCGCGGGAAGATACGGGTAAAAGAGGTCCGGTCGCCGTTGCAGAAACTCCGAGTCCTTGGGCGTGATTGGCAGGGGAGGTATATCCAACGACATCCGTCGACCTCGACGTGACGTTCCGTTGGTGAACATGTGAGTACCCATGTGCACCTGTGGTGGAAAAGCAAGAGAGAGACGATCAGAGGCGGTGTCGCGCGTCAGATCTCGATCGGGTAGGCGCTGATCTTTCATCGAGCTCGAGCGACGTTTAAGCGTTTTTGGCGTTAGTAGAAGCGGTAGCGGCTAGGCTGGTGTTAGTAAGAGACTTTCGGGAGACTTGTAGAAGGGACTCAGACTTTTGACGGCGGCTAAAAAATTAATGGTGTTATACCTTGAGGTTGCCTTTGGTGGTGAACGCCTTCTGGCAGACGGTGCATCGGAACGGTTTGTCGCCGGTGTGAGTTCTCATATGAATCTGGAGCGCCGAGGACGAGGAGAAATTCTTATTGCAAATCTGGCACAAATGCTTGCTCGGCAGGCCTGCAAATACACATAACGGTTTCGCTAAACTGCCCCTGACTTCGTGATAGTGATATGCGATATGGTAGATGATTAAAGGATCGTTATTTTGTAAAAGTCTCAGTCCGAGGCTTTTAAAAATTGATTTGAAAATCTGAGGATCATGAAAAATTAGAAAAGTACGGCACGAATAGACTCAGCGGTCGTTCCAAAGCTTTAGTTTCTTTTTATACGCTAACAAGATAATAATTATACATGTCATAACACCGGAAATGGAAAGTACGATGCTACCATAGCCACAAGAAATCCAACTTGCCCTGTATGAATGACGGGACGAACAGAGTGAGCGTAACCCGCCACCAGCAATCCAGGGTGTACACAGAAATTCCGAAGCGTGTGGAAATAATGATGGACAGGAGGCAAAAAAGGAAGAGGCTAGCAAGCGTGTTGCGAAGCAGCAGTGTTTTGGGTACTCCAAAACTACGGTGTTCGTTAGCGAGAGGGGCTGCCAATCGTGATTGACAACGCGTTAGCAATGAGATATCGGATCTGCCGAGCGAAGCTGAATTCGGATAATACGGATGTGGCGCTCGATGAAGAAGCAGATTGAGTTCTTTTTTTTCTTTCTTATCCTTATGAAAGCGAACGAACGCGAGCGAAATTATACTTACTGGCTGGTCTCTTTGGTGCCGGCAGCTCTCCCTCCGGCGATCTCTTTACCGGTATCGTAGACTCAATGGACGTTGGTGGCATCGGCGGGGGTGGTGGAGGTGGCGGAGGTGGGGGCGGTAGGCTCGAATCGTCGACGCACATCGGACTTCTAGAAGTCTCCTGATCCTGTTGCGGTTGCGGCTGCGGTTGCAGCTGCGGTTGTGGCGGTTGCTGCGGCGGCGGTTGCTGCTGCGGTTGCTGCTGCTGCTGCTGCTGCTGCTGCTGCTGTTGATGCTTGGGATCGCTGAACAGATGTGGCGGCATATCGCGAATCTTGTGAGTCAACATATGCTGCTTCATATTACCCTGCGCATCAAAACACGTTCTATTGTATTTAATTAAGCAGTTGACTGCGATTCCTAGAAAAGAACAGTCGTAACATTGTTGCTCATGTGTGGCATCTGTGTACAATATATTAGCGATCTGCGAATATTGTCGTTGAACGCCATCACAGTACAGATACATGAGGGACTTTATACTTTTTTATTTTAAATGGGAAATTCATCTCGCAATTATATATTTATATTAAAGTTACTTTACATAAGGTTTTAACACGTTATAAGGTACCTTCTTTTAATCGAAGTAATTCAATATTTACGTTGTTGCATTATTCCGATAAAGTTATCGCATGTGTTTTGCGCGGATGTATACATTTTGCTTAATCTCACGATAATTACGTCTTGAATTATTGCGTTTAAGTCGTTCAGTTCAATAGCAAGAAGGAAGAAATAATATTATTACGCGGAAAAAGATAATTGCGACTTGGCCGTGACATTATCGACTGCACGAGATGAGAACGAACGCGTGTACGCTTGCTGGTAGAGGAGGCTCTTACCAGGAAGACGTGGTCCGAGGGTAGAAGTCCGAGGGCGGGTGGCATCAGCGGGGGCAGGCGGACGGCAGGATAAACAGACGTCAGCCTTCGCCCCCCTCCTGTTCCTGTCCGCCCCCGGTTCTTCCGTTCCTCAGGCCGCCGCCGCCTGCGTTTCGGTTTCTCACTATTTCCGGCGGCCGGTCTCGCCGGGTACGAGCGATATTGGGGATTGGGTTGTGGGAGGATCGGACCCTTCGCGGCGAAGGGTTGGTCCGCGCAGGAACATACTTGCTGACCGGAATCATCGTTCTGAAAGTACAGCAGAACAACGAGAAGAGTATAGAAGTGGTGTGAATAGATATATCAAAGAGAAGCTTTGCGTGACGAATGAAGTATTTCTAATATTTAATTAGCGATTTTTAAGGTTTTATTGTCGATTTATTCTTAAAGACTGGCATATATTTTCATAGTGCGTTAGTGCTAGCGATAATGCTGATATATATATATATATATATATATATATATATGTATAATGTATATTATTTTTAATATAGTTTTATCATTTAACGTACATAGTCCAGAACAAATTTTGCAACAATATTATCTAAATTTTTTGGAAATTTTATGTGGTGGTCGACAACTTGAACTTAAACTGATGCTTAAGATTTAAATAAATGCAGGGTGCTTTTTATTTACGTCAACTGAACATACGAAAGATTAACATATTTGTGCATATTTTTCTCTTTTGTACTTGTATTTATCGTAGGGTATCTGAGCATTCCATTCAGGATATATTCTTTGGAAATAAAGTAGGATGACAATTTTTCTGAAAGTAACAATATTGAATTCGAATTTTTAGCAAGGTATTATACAATCATGATTGAAGATATGTGCAGATCTTTCTAAACAACATTGTTTTATGATGCTTTCTAACAGTTTCAAGAAGTTTGGAGCTTAAGTTATATCAATTCCAACATAAATCTGTCTGTTTTTGTGTGGAAATTATTCAAATAAAATAATATTCCTATAGCAGAGGATATTCCTAAATGCAGATATCAAGGTATAATATCGAGATAATTAAACGTGTCACAATCAACAAGGTATTACGACATCGAAATATGAGTCACAAAAAAAACGACAGATACAAACAAGAAAGGGAGCAAGAAAGAAAGAGAGAGAGAGAGAGAGAAAAAGAGAGAAATATTAGCAATTCGCAATACTCGCTTTCGAGGTAAAATATATTTAATTACCTTCGTAGAAAAACCTCGATCGCATATGGTGCATTTGAAAGGTCGCTCCTTCGTATGGCTCCGGTAATGAATCTCCAATGCAGATTGGCACGCGAACGTCTTGTAGCAGAATTTACATGTGGTGTTGCCACGCACTGTAACAAATTGTATCTCTTTACATTTTCGATTCGAACCTTCGTATGAATATATATTTCGACATTTCGAAATTTTTAATACATCGCGTTCCCGTTTTGCTCTATCAATGACCCGTATATTATGTATTTTTTTCGCAATTCCTAAAACGTGATATACAGTCTGTCAAAGAAGAACGTGATCAGCATAACTTTTATGCGAATCTTATTAGCGAAGACGTTCTGCATGAAATAAAGAAATTCTAATTTAGGACGCGTTATAGAAGAAGACTGAGTTGGCTTTGTATCTTTTTAATAGAAACGAAATTTTTAACGCGTTGATTATCAAAGGCCCTTGACAAATATAGTGGCAATTTTTTTTTCACCCAAATGGAACATATAGTATGTGAAAAAAGTATGACAGCTCTTCAAACTTTGTCTTAAAATATTTATTAGATGTCACGATTTTCGAATACAGTATTAAAAGATGACAATTGTCAGCAAGAGATTGCTATGTAGCATCAAAGATGGACTATAGTCTGTCTTAATTGATCTTTTCTGTTGCCTGACACTAATTCCATTAAAAATGTTTGAGCTCTCACAAAGATGAAACTTTACGATACGAATACGATCATTGCCAAGCCATTGTGTCGTATTAATGATTTAGCGATCTATATTTAAAAATTATGCTTTGATATATATAAAAATTATATGTCGAAGATATCAAGTTGCTATTGATAATAGTTAATATAATCGCGGCTTAGTTGTAATCGAGCACTATAAATGTATCTTTATCATAATTTTATAACAAAAAATTAATAACAAGTAATTTAAAAGCTATGCTGATCGCGCTTTTCTTTAATGTATTCGACTGCCATGTATTTACGTATTTTAACAATTAAAATTATGCCTTTTAAGAAAACGGATAAAATTGGCTTTCACAATCCCAGCAGGTATTTACTAATAACTACGAAAAAAATTTATCTAAATAAAATGAAACAGAATAATAGAAAAGATGAGAGTGAATTGTGGTGCAAGAATAAATACATACAAAAAGAAATTATGATAAAAGTTTATTTCCCAATATTCTTTTCCAATAACGTGTATTGTCAAGGCCATTATCCTGAGTACTGTAATAAAGATGAAGATAAAGTCGTCGTTTATTTATAAAAAAGTTGTTAATACATAAATAAAGTTGGTTAACAAGTATTGAATAAAAATAAATATCAAATAAGAAAATGCGGTATCGAATATAGATTTTAAATAAGGATTGTAAGGTTAGAGATTAAAAATTGATAAGTAAAAGTGTAAGTATGTAAAAAGGGAGAAGGGGCCTTTTCCCTACATTCCATTCTGAAAAAAATTTCAATTTCATTAATTTACGATTTAGTTTGGCAATGCTTCGCCTGTTCTTCGCCTACACATTCACTTTTCAATTTTTGAAATCTTTAAATATTTTATATAAAATTCTACTTTAAAATCGAAAAGAAACGTTCTTTATATCGCGCAATAATTAGTAGGCTTGTTCTTTTTAGCTTAACTTGCACGGTTCATTTTTTCTCTTTTTTTTTACGTTGGAGAAGAAATGAGAAGATTAATCGTGCAAAAAATTTAGCTAAAAAAAAACAAGCCTAGTGCCTTAATCGAACCTAATCTTTATCTGAAACTAACTTATTTATGTATTCACTTTGCATTTAATGAAAACAGTGATGAACTCTTAAGTTACTAAAAAATGCATGTTACAACGGACAATTACTATATTACATTTTCTATCATTGCATGCCTTATTATTTTTTTTTGTTAATGTAGCTTTGAAACGAATAGTAAATGATTAATAATAAGCGACAGCTAAAATTTGTATTACGGTACTCAATATTATGATCTTGATAATATATATATTTAATCGTGGGGAAGGATATGGGAAGGATAAATTTTTATCACATTTATTTTAAAACCAGATAAACGTTAATTTTCTTTTTTATAAAATAATTTAATCATTATACCAATATAAATAATATACCAATATAAATAGATAAGTGCAAATATCTGTGCGACACAATCGCTTTGTACTTTTTACTTTGTACATTTTAGTGTTTCTAAAATTATTTTGTGGATATAGTTATATTGGTTTCTTATTCGCGTTAATGTTTTCTAAGATATAATCTTCCGAGAATTAGTTCCCACAAAAGTAGAAACTCAGGTCCTCTTCAGCTGTCAATTGACTACGAACTAAATGAAACATATCGAACTAAACTAGCTCCCTCTTTTTTTTATAGAGCATTTATTAAAAATAAAATAAAAAACAAATCTATTTCTAATACACTTTTATGTAACAAACTGAACTATATATTCAGTCACCCTCAGTATTCAATTATATTATTGTTAGATCCACATTCTAACTTGCTCTAAGCTTCATCGTATACAACTTGTATGCGTTATAATATTCTGTAAATATCGTATACATATTTATCACATTTATTTCCTAACATGCACGTGAGTATTAAAAGTGTTAAACACATCCTAAATAAAGACGCGACATTAAGTTTAATAATAAAGTAAAAATACTGGTATAATTACCGGTAAGAAATTACTTCAACGCATTACAAAACGACTAATATTTATGATGTATATCATCGTTATTAATTTGAGTTATAAATATATTGCTATCTCTTTCGAATTAATAGAAATAGTTAATAAAATTGAAGAATATTACCTATTATTGCTCGCTATCTTTTGCCATTTTTTTTAAATATCTCAGACAGAACCTACTTGCCTACTTGCCTTGCTTTTTTTGTATCTTTTCCAATGTGAGCGGACACCAATCGTTATTGTATTAATGTGGAATGATTAACTTCCAGCCGTTTTCTAATACTGAGGCCGAGTCTTCACTTTTAGTTTTCTAAATAAAAAAAAATAAAAAATGAATAAACCAAAATAAATAAACCGAAATTGTACCGCTCTAAATACGACGAAAATCACAAAGACATTCTACACATTGTATAAACGTGACGCGGCATCGCAAGAGTTAGCGTGAATACAATGAGAAACAGAAATTATCGCATACATTAAGAGAAATGTAGAAAAAGAAAACGATAAGGAGAATAATAATAACATAGATATATTGTAATATTATAGATACATTAGTAAACATAAAAAAAGAGAGATAAAGAGAAAGAAATAAAGATGATTATTAAAACGAAGATAACAAGAAGAAGAAAGTTATATAACGGGAGAATGGGAGTGCTAGGTCCAGCTACACCACAAACAGGACATTGACATGAGACTGGACAAGATGGATACGTCACGGAGATAGGTATACTCGGCGATACTGGACTTAGCGATTCGCAGTAAAGAATCGTGATCATAGTTCGGACGAGGGACAAGGTGTAGCAGGAACCGCAGCCCGCCCTGATGCTAGCAGTTCCTACCTGCTGGGCCTCCGACAGCTAGGCCGAGCGGATTGTAAGTCGACGATGCGGCTAGTACCGCCGAAGTGGTCAGCGAGGCTAGTGGTCCGCTGCCGGGCCCGCTTCCCGGGTTGACGGCATTCATCGAGGTGACGCTGTTTATGTTCGACGTGCCTATCGTGCTGGTGGTAGGAGAGGACGAGACCGCTTGAAGTAGACCCGCGAACATGCCGAAGGGATTCGGTGGATGATGCGGCGCGGTCTGGGGTGGCGGCGTCGGCGATGCTGAGGCCACCGACGCTGGCGTGGACGAAGCGCGGGGTGTCAGGTCGAGCGGGGCACCGGAGGTCGGCGGGCTGGTGCTCTTCTCGCTACCGTTGTATCGGTGAAAGGACGGCGACCTGGCCACATTCGCAGTCGTGGCCGTCGTCGTGATGGTCCTCACTTGATTCTCGAGAGCCGCCAACGAGGTCGAAAATATAGGAAGCGTCACGTCCTTGTGCTCGGTCGTATCTTGACTCTCGTGGTCCTGCTCCTCTTCGACTTCGACGCTACGCCTGTCGCGATTCAATTCGCACCTCTCGTCGTCCTCTCTGTGATCTTGCTCCTCGTCTTCCTGATCTTCCATCTCCTCGCTGTGCTCCTCCATAAATCTCTGTCGTTGGTGCTGAGACTCCTCTTTCGCGTCAATGTCGCTTTCGTGCGAATGTTGCTCGATGGCCGTTTGCCTGGATGGTGGGAATCCCAAGGAGAAGCTCGCGCCGGTCGGATGTAGCGGCGGAAATCCTTGCGGGAGGAAAGACGCCAGCGGATGGTAACCGGGTGGGAACTCGTTCACTTCTGCAGCTTGGATCTGTTCCGGGCTGAGATCGGTAGGTTCCCCGGTATGAAGGCGTATGTGCTGCTGCAATACGAGAGCGTTCGTGAATTTCTTGTGACACACTGGACACTGGTGCAACACTCTGAGCGGCGGTTTAGCTCTGTGCACTCCCATGTGGGTCTTCAGATTGCCCTTCGTCGTGAAGGCGCGACCGCAAATTTTACACTTGAAGGGACGCTCACCGGTATGAGTGCGATAATGCATCAGCAACGCGCTCTTGCACGAGAGCACTCTGTGGCAAACGATGCACTGATTAGGATCGCTCAGCTTGTGCTCGATATTGTCGACTAGTTGCTGCAACTTGGACGTTTCCGAAGTTTTCGTTATTTCGATCAAGCTCTCCCAGGAATTGTCATTACTGCCAGGCCGCGGTAGTAAAGTCGAATAAATCGCTGGATCCTTGGCCGGATCGATCATTTCGCTTCCGGACGTCGTAGTTGGTCCTGCCTGGGTCGAAACAGGAAGACCGGGAATTTGATGATGAGCCGGTGGACCTGGGAACAGGATACCGGCGAAGGATGTCTGCAGACTACCGCTACTCGCGCTACTGCTGGCCGGCGATGCTCCCGGGTACGCCATGATCTGTTGAGGCAAACGATTGATCGTACCTCTGCCCGAAAGGTTCTCAGGTTGCTCTTCTGTCTCCTCGTCCACTTCCATCTCTCCGTCGCCCTCTAAACGTCCGCTGATCTTGCTGTCCATACTACAATCCTCGTACGTTTGCGGCTGGGACGGTGGATTCACGGATTGGGGTGAATTGAGGTATCGTCTCGTGGTTTCCTCAAAATCTTCGCTCTCCTCCTCCGCGGCTTCTTCCGCTTCCTCAGGTTCTCTCTTGGGTGTTATTCGCTCGGCGCCTTCCCGGCTCATCGGTCGCTGTTGATACTGCTCCTGCCCGGGCGATCTTTGCTCGAGCTTTATCTCCTCTCTCTGCTCAAGCTGCTGCTTTTGATGTTGTTGATGGATATTGTCGTGAAAGGAATGACGAGAATTCAACATGGCAGCGGGAGAAGTGGGAGATGTCTGTGGAGCGGTGGTTATGGGTACTTTACTAAGATTCTCCGGCACATCTTGATCGTCCCGGTGATTAATAACTGGGGACCGGTAAAGAGGCGTCATATTGGATAAGGTGAGACTCAAAGGCATGGGCGGTTGTGGTGGGAGGAAACCGTGCGTTGTTGCCGGATGAAACGAGGGGTGATGAGAGGATGGTGGTGGCGGCGGCGGCGGGGACGGCATCGGCCTCTGCCCGGAAGCGATTTGCTGCAAGAGGGGTGGGTGGTATTTATCTAAATGTTCTGGAACGGGATTTGGGTTCATCTTAACGTGTGGAAATTTGGCCGTGTGCCTTTGGAAGTGGACCTTCAGGTTGCCCTTGGTCGTGAATCGACTGCCACATACGTTGCACTTAAAGGGTCGCTCACCTGTGTGGGATCGTATGTGGATTTGTAGCGCCGAGTCGCTACCGAAGACTTTGCCGCAGAAGCGACATCGATGCTTGAAGAAGGGCTCGCCGCGACCACCGCTCGATTTTGAATCGTAAGGAGAGAGTCGCGAGCCCTTGCCTCTAAACGCGAGCTCGTCGGCCAAATTGTTGGCTAGCCCTTGACTCGCGTTATCCAATACCTCTTGAGTACGCTTTTGAAGAATGTCCAGAGTGTTTGGCTCGTGAAGCGGCGGCGGATCGGTATTCGTTATGATCGATGAAGCAAGGGAAGCGCTTATCGAGCAGAGCGGCGGCATTTGATGCGGCATCGGCATTTGGCTGCTGGTGGTCGTGATGACGGTCGACGTCGCGCCGGACGACGATAGGGGTAGATTCAAAGGAGATGCGCTGCTCGTCGAGGTGGGTCGTTCCTGAAGCAGATTCGGCGTCAGCGGCGCCGGTGATGTTTGCTGATGATGACTCGGCGGACGAGAAGAAGGAGGTGACGCGAGACTCGACAATGGTTTCGGATGAATAATAGGGGACGACGAAGCCTCTTTGCTATCAGTTGGCTCCGTCGCCGACGATTGCATTACCGATTGCCCGTGAGTGATCAATAATTGTTGCTGAAGTTGTCGAATCAGCTGTAATTGTAATACCTGTTGATTCTGAAGGGTGCACAGCGTGTTTTCCAGAAACGCCAAGTCTTGCAGCGCCGCTTCACTGTCTGCCCCAGTGAGGGCAGTGGCGGCGAACTGGGCGACCGCCACTTTTGTATTCTGAAGGGCTTCGAGGGTGACGTGACTAGTTCCAGCGGGCGGGAATATGGCGGTAGGTAGACCGCTCTCCACAAAGTTATTATTGTTTTCCGCATCTTGGCGATGATGTATCTGTTTGCGCGAGCCCTCCTCGTCCTCATCCTGCTCGTCTTGCTCATCGATGCCTTCTTCCTCATCCTCTTCCATAGGATCATCATCGCCCTGATGAGATCTCGTCGCTGTGAGATCCACGGCTTCCTCGCCACCTCCTCCTCCACCACCGCTCTCTTCGCCGTCTGATGTAAAGTCATTTTCTTCTCCTGCAAAATAAAATGATAAAAATTGATAAATAACAAGTCACTTTTTCTATCTGTAACTGATATACATATTAATTCATAGATATTATTCGGATGATTATACGTATATATACGTATACGGATTATACGTATGTATTTGCTTTTGTAAACGACGCATGCTTAATAGATTCCACATGTACCTCACGGCAAGGTTGATTTTTTCATATTACATGCGAATATGCGTAAGCTGATAGCTATACGACCAACATTAAAATGAGGGCAGATACATCAGCACCTGTGCTTTTAAAGTTTCACTCGGCGATTAACATGAGCGCCAAGGCTAACATGAAAGATAAGTTGACATCCCATATACATATTACACTCAGGATGTACGACGAAAGCGGAATTCTTAATGATCGCGATATGAACGGGTTTCCGGTTCTTTATATCGAAATATGTTCTTTATATATAAAAAATAGTCATATATTTATTAGAGAGAGAGAAATAAAGAAAACGAGCGAATAAATCTCTATTTATTAAGAGAAGATCTAAGTATACTCTAATATATTATAATACATTTTTACATCCTTTTTAGAAACTAGAATAATAATATCAAAAAAATTAATAAAATGTATTATAATATTTATATATATGCACACGCATGTGTTTTTTTTCTCCCAAGGCAAGATGCATAAGATAAGATGTTTCACAAGGTCAATACGTGGTATGATAATATAACCACTACAATAAGAAAAACTCGTCGAGTAAGATATTATTGATGTTTAAAATTATAACTATACTTTTTTGGATAAAGTAAGCTTATTAGTTGCTCAGTTAATTAATTGACAGTCTTCGACTTCGTGTCACGTAGATTTCTACCTATATTCAATATGCATGTAAGTCATCAGTTAAAAAATTTTACTCGCAATGCTTTAACACTTTGTTAAATTAGATAAAGAACGAATAACAAAGGCTCCAATACTTAGCAATATACCAGAACAGACAGAACTTAGAAGTACACAAGTCAAAATAGCGATTTTTGTCTTTTTAATGAGTGAAACTCGAAGTTTATTTTCTCTAATTTAAATAGACATATATCCAGCGAAATGCAGAACAAGAAAAATTCAAATATACCTCATCTTGTTTATTAAAACATGATGACTGATATTATTAAACGCTCTTTCGGAGTCGAAGAAGATAGAGATGTGTCCTATATGTACTATCTTAAAGATAGTACATAAAATAATTATAAGTCTATCTCACATTTCAAAGAGACGTTTGATTTTAAATATTGGACCAACTATTCTTCCTTTTATTATTTAGGATCTTCGAAGAAAATAGTATGCAGTAGGTATTACACTTTATTTATAAAGTTGTATTAGTTTTTATTTTTTTTTCTTATTTTTATTATAAGAAAATTATATTTTTCTAGCATAAATAAATATTGATATTTGGTCATTAAACGGGGGGGGGGTCTCACACCTAGTAATCCTTTTTATGAGTTTTATATATATTTTAATAATAGAGCTGGAAATCAAACCTAAGTTTTTCACTTAATCATTCTGCCACCAAGTCATCTAGCATCTTTGGACAAATAAGAGGTTCTATAATCTTGCTTGGTCTTTGGATCATTTGTAATCGATGTTGCAGCGTTATTGTACGATGTACTACAATCAAAAATTGTTCGCCATGTGCAGAGAATATAATCACACATATACTTTCTCATTAACGATCGGATGTATGTTTATATACGCCTCTCGCAAATAAGTTATTCTTTTAATTGGAAGACATACATATGTACATAAACATACATCTTACGTAATTAAAGAATTATTTAATTTAAGCGTGTAAGATAGCGCTTCAGTTTTAATGGAGAGTTATATTGTAAGACCGAGTAGATAACTAGCGCATTTTCTGATGAATATATAATTACTCATGATTTCATGAAACTGATTAAGATTAAATCATTGTAAATTTCTTTTGAAAATTCGTAATCAAAGATATCTAAAGCAAGATCATAGATATTTATTGTTTATATGTTATATTGATATTGAAAGGCCGTTTTCATCGTTTGCCTTCTTTGTATTAGTTATTCGTAGATAATTATTGTATAGTACATTCGATCAGTTTCGTAAATTACTATATAACATGTTTAGAACAAATTAATATCAGGATGGTGATGGTCGAAAATTATTCTATACATGTACACAATAAATACATAGAATAATTTTCGACTATTATCAGCCTGATACACATATATTGGTTGTTATCGTTCATTACAGTTTTGTGCAGAAAATTTGTTTGTCAAAAGTTCTCACGGGACAACCAAAGTTGATTGAATCAAAACATTGATGAATGTATATTATATTGAAATCCGTTAAAAATTACTTGCGCAAACTTACTGTGATACTTGAGTATCTTATGAACTGATCGAAAAAAACTTAGTCCATTAATCAATCTTGATCTCTTGCTTAAACGTAACAAAAACGATCCATTTTTCAAACAAATGATGATGGCGAAGATGAAAAATGGATGAAAAATGGATAACAATGCTGAACAAAATACACTCAGATCCAAACAAAAGATTCAAACGGACAGTCCAAAACGGACTGTCATTAAGATATTCAAAGATTGATCTTTATTCCAAGAAATTCACGACGTGCAACTAATGGAGTTGGAAAGACATTATGAAATAATCAAATGCTTATAAATATTCGTAAATCAATTGAAACAATTGACAAAAAGTGTCGAGAACTGAATAGAACATAAGATTTCGATGTAACTTACGACTCGATTTTTATGTTGATGCTCACTGTCTCTCTGTTTTGCTGCTCGCATTTTAACAATAAGCTACCGATTTTGGAGGTGGCACACTATACAATGGAATTTTATTTTTTGAGTGCTAGCTGTCAAACCGTTAATAAACTTTTCCTTTTTCCTAATAATTTATTTTCAAAAATAATTCTTATCTCTATTAATTCAAAAACTAAATTTTCTATTATTCATTTTGTACGTCTTCTACAATCATTTAGAAATTCTATAAGAATTCTTATAACATTTTCCTCAAAGCTCTTATATCGCCAATTGTATTAATCATATTGACATTAAATTTATTTTTACAATATATGTAAAGTAATAATGGATTTTGTGAGAAACTTATATATAGTTATGATATTATATAAAGTTATAATTATAGACTAGTATCATTATAATTATAATATTTAGACATTTACGGCCGCTCTTGAGGCAGAACATCGTTCAATTTAATTATGCACGTTCATTGTTTAAGATTAATTGTAAGAGGAACATAGTGTTGGAACAATCCCGACTTCATTTATTCTTGCCGATTTCTTCAACTATTCGTAGAAAATTGTGATAACTTGACATAAATGTCTTGCCTTGTCCCCCCTGCTGTTTTCATCTCTTGAAATCCTTTGTATATAACAAACAAATAAGATTCTCTTGAAGAAATTCGAAAATATGCTACAGAAGTCTTTCTTAATAAAAGAAAATCTGGAAAAGATTAAAGTTTCGTGAAATTTCCCATTTTTCTCATCTCACCGAAGAAAATGAAAACTTCTTCGGAATAGAAAAGTAAAGCTGCCTGAAAAATGATAAAAAATTGAATAAAATGGTTACAATATATTAGGTATCTAAAGTTTTACGTATAGAACTGTTTTCTAAAAAAAAAAAAAAAAAAAATTAAGAAAACTTGGTTAAGATTTTTAGCCAAAAATTTGGCCAATTCAATACTTCTTTCCAAGGTTAAACTTCTGTACGAAGTTAATTTTAATGAGATGATGCTACTATGATGAGAAGATACTACAGGTAGTTCAAGCTATCCTTGATATATCCCCCAATGAGACGTATCATGGATTGCTTCCTAGGAACAACATCAAAATTAAAAATATCTCTGTTGCTCTTGATAATACGAAAAAAATGTTTAAGAAGAGGCGTAATTGTGTCTCGAATAAATATTATAGAGCATTTTCTATCCAAAATTATAATTTTCACACAAATTCATTAAATTTCTCTATATTTATAGATGCTATGATGATGATAAAATTATACTATCCCATTTAAAAACGATAGATTTTGAAATTCCAAAACATATAAGATTTCGCGAGACAACATCATTCGTTATTGGATTATTTATCTATTCAAGATAAAAATATTTACAATGACTCACGAAACTGATCGAATTGTATCATTGTTACGAATTTTTTTTTGAAAATAAAGATATCTGTAGCCAGATCATAGATATTTACTTATTTATATATTATGTTGATACTGAAAGGTCGTTATCGATTGCCTTCTTCGAATCAGTTAGTTGTAGATAATTGTTATTCAATACATTTGATCAGTGAGTGATCACTGTATTTTGCAAATTTTCTCGTTGCATAAAGAGCAAATAAATAGTTTAAGATTCCAACGTTAAGTAAGTATATATGTAGGCCTACTGGGTATTCGTCGATGTAACTTGAGGAAGCTCTTCCTCAACCTGCGAGTGCACAGCTTCAACGGATCCGTTATACGCCATTTGACACATTTTAAAGCTTCCACTGGGTCTTTCGTCTTCGTCTTTGCCATTCCACACAGTCATTCCACATAGCACTGAGATATATACTATAATATTAAAAATATTGATAACGATACGCTTGAGTCGGAAATCGGCGGAATGTAACTATCTCAAGATAAAAAAAGAAAGGGATATATAAATATATATTTTTTACATGTATATACATACATGTATATATGGACAAAATGCTATCTAACAATAAGATTTACTCATCGTCAGTCGAATATAGTAACGTATTAAAAATATCTTGAACAATTATTAGATTTCGTGGATCGTACCGTCGAGCGTAAGGAACGAGAAGCAACTACCTGATGAAGAACCAGTCTCATGAGTATGCGAGCAACGCCACCATCTACAGAGGCCCCACCATCACCGACGACGACGGTGGTGGCAGAGCGGCGATTTCCTCTGTGTGTGTCCCACCACTCCGGATATACCACGGCGT